TTACGCAAGAGGTTCCAACATCGCTAAACACGCTTGGTCTTCAAATCACTCTATTGACTTTAAAAATTCCCAAGTGATTGACAAGGGTTCTTCACGTATTCGCAAGACGTTAGAATCATGGCACACCGCTTCGATAGATCATGTAGATAACAATTCTAGACCGCTCCCCAATCAGTACTCTATTGTTTTAAAAAAGAACAATTAGTTTATTAACACTTATATTTTTCCATTTTAATATATTCTTTTTATAGTTCCACCTATTTTTGTATATATTTGTAGTTGTTNTTTAAAAAAGAACAATTAGTTTATTAACACTTATATTTTTCCATTTTAATATATTCTTTTTATAGTTCCACCTATTTTTGTATATATTTGTTGTTGTTATCTTTTCCATTTTTTATCCATCGAAGGCTGTAGTCTGACAGCCGAAAGCTCTGAAAGGTTTAACTTTATATAGCCAGTGAACGTTTTTTTTATAAATTTTTAATATCTTATGGCATGTTCTAAAATAATCCAGCTTGTATTGTAATTACTAGTTTCTGTGTTTGAATCTGATTAAATCAGAGAGCCCGCCTTGTGCTTGCGGCCAAAGGTATTGAGTATGAGTGCGTGAATATCAACTTGAAGGATAAACCAGAGTGGTTTTTGGAAATAAACCCTCTGGGAAAGGTCCCAACTATTGAGATGCCCGATGGAAAGGTCATTTATGAATCTGCAATCTGCTGTGGTAAGTGGAGTCCGAATTTATTTCTAAGAGATTTTCGTTGCTTACCCCCTCAGTTTAACATGTGGTTGTTAGTGTCCATCTTGAGACTAGTGCTAAGTAGATCACTATTTGTCGTTTTCCAGCATAGCCTGCAACCAGGCTCTCCTGCCGCGAACGACGAAGTCACGAAATACACACAGGCAAGTGGCGAAGCCGCCCGAAGCCCACCACACGTAGTTCGTAAACTCGCTGGCGCGATAAAGCGTGCGCCAGATAGCAGCGCTGAAATGCAAAACCCAAACCTGGAGCCTTCTCGGAGGCTTTCCCAATATTTTCTTTCTTTTTCTCGTAGAATTCCTGGAGGATATGTACCCGGAAAAGGCACCCCTCTTTCCTAACGACAGCTTTTCCAAACACAAGCAGCGATTGCTGGTTGAAGTTTTGGGAAACAAGGTACGTATCGTTTAATCTATTTACGTCAATTGAGGTAATAACTGTTTACAATAATCGCGTGAGTTAGTAATAACAAAGGCGTAACTCGGTCAGAGAATGCAGGTAATAATGTAAGTAACTTTGCGAATAACAACAGGAGCATTTTTTTTTTAAACTGAGTTATTGTTGTTCTAAAACTTTGGAGAAGAAATGCAAACGAAATGAATAAATGAAACTTTCCTCAAAGATACGTTCAGGGCTTTTGAACTAGGCGAAGAAGGCGCTCTAAAGTAGCATCCACACTACGCCGGAGAAATTTGAAAACGCTTCTTTATTTCTACGGTTAGGTCTAAAGTCCACACTAATCCGTCACGAAAACGGAACTTTTCGAAAACCCTCTTCAAACCGGAGAAATTTGATAACGCCGACTTGTCGTTTTCATGTGGACGGAAAACATTTTGAAAACGGAGCTTTTTGACAACGATGTGAAGTGTTCCACAAACGCAAATCCAAAATGACCGGTAATTGTTACATCCTTAAATTCCTCCGGCGTAGTGTTGACGGAAATTCAGAGTGAAATCCGTTTTCAAATTCCTCCAGCGTAGCGTGAACGGGACCTAAACTGAAATGTGTTTTAAATAGTAGGACGACGATGTTATTAGCAAAAAAAATCTTAGTTTTAATTTACCAACGGGGTCAATACGTCCAGGACCTGGGGGAGATTGTACATGATCTGTACTCATTCTAGTTTAGTCCCTGAACTCTCCTTTATTCCCAACCTATTTAGGGGTTGAACCCAGGCGGGCGAAAAGGTAAACTCCGCGACTTCCAAAAAATTTGTTATCGTACCCACACTTACCTGAAACCTTATGCATTTCTCTTGCAGATTATTCCCGCCTTTTATAAATCTCGAACAGGCGGCCCTGAAGAGCAGCAAGAACTAGACAAGCAGCTCACTGAATTTGAAAAAGAGCTAGGAGATAAGAAATTCGTCGGAGGTGAGGTGCCACCAATTTTAAAACAGATGATGCAAATCTAGAGCTTTTGCGTTATGGATGACAATACGCGTACAGACTCTTGGGCTTTTCACTTCAGCAAAATTTGCGTCACAAGATTGGTTATTTCTAGACACGCCTAACATAGCTTAAGAAGAATTACCTCGGGAATAAGGCAATAACTCTCATACTCTTCATCCTCTCTTGACAAAGAAGAATTAGAAATTACCCGACTGAACTCAATTTTAAGTTATTTAAGAAATCTTTTTGTTTTTTATTGTTACCATGCAAGTGAGCTAGGCGCGGTGGCCTAATTAGCTAGCAAGCTGGGAGCGGTCTGGGTGTGAGCTCTGGCAGGGGCCTTTGCGTGATGTTATTGCGCAGTACAGTTTACCCTTACAGTGCCTCTTTCTGATACACCTAGGTGTATAAATGGGTACCGGCAAATTTAATGTTGCAGCAGTCCTGTGATGGGCTAGCATCCAATCCGGGGGNAAGTAGAAATAGCTTCATGCTAGGAAAACCGGAGATAAGCGCCAACCTTACGGGCCACTGGGTTCGAACATAGACTTACCTAGCATGTAAGCGAATACAGAGGTGTCAGAAAGGCGACAGAACTTATCCTAAAGGAAATTCCCTGGGGCAGGGTCGAGAGAGGAAGGGAACCAACTGGATAAACCTTTACTGGTATAAAAGGCGTAAGTCCTAGCAATATCTTGTAACGGTCTAATAACCAAATAGATATGGTTGTTTCTTGCCGCAGGTGACAATCCTAGCATGGCAGACTACCTGATGTGGCCGTGGATTGAGCGCCTGTATATGCTGGATGACCTGAGCAAGTTCCCAGTCCTCTCAGCTTGGTGCGCGGCAATGACCAACTTGGCCGCAGTCAAGGAATGTAGCTATCCAGTGGAGTGGCATAAAAAGTTTGTTGAGTTGTACAGGGAGGGAAATCCAGACTCACAGCTTGTCGGCATCGAAGAAAAGGCGTAAACAACAGTCCTCTTACAAGGTCTTTTGCCATTTTCTTTCATTAAGTCTAGATACAGGACATTTGCGTTTTCATTTATCTCTGAAAGCTGACTCAAGTAGGTTGAACTGAAAAGTAATGTAGTTTTTAGTCTAAGAGCTCGTAGATCGTTGAAATCTGTTATAAAAACAATAGTCATGCGAGGATAGCTCTTGGCTTTTGTAACTGGTTATTCTCTGTATTTACGTAATTTTACTGAATAAAAGAAATACCGTCAGCACAGTCTTTGTCAGTTTTTGATGTCAAGTTAACGTTTCGCCATGGAATTTCATTTTCGGGGAAGAGAAATAATCTAAAAACAATTCTTCAGATACAAGAAGGCGTTAGAGCAACTGCTTTTGCTGAGCTATCTGCAGTGTAATTTTGGTCATTTCCTTCTTGACTGACTGCCTTCGGGGTCAACTTTTGTCGCGCTTCTTCGCGACTGTATAGTATGAACGAGAGTTGATATCCCATATAGGTCTTAGTCCTAAGGTAACCTCTCTCACACTTTTTTATCCATTACATTTTCCTTTTTTTTTACATCACTCCCGCCCTCAAATCCTGTGAAATAGCCAATCTTGTGACGTGAAATTGACTTACACGGACAGCCCAGGAGGATCTCACTCATCAATTTTTCATCGCCCATGAAAACATTCACATAGCGTAATATAATCTGCCAGAGGACTAGATTACACATCATCTTGTTGCCGGCCTAAAAGAGAACATGTTTTGATCGTATTACACACAATCCAAGTTTCATTTTCGTAGCTTCAATGCTACGTAAAATTACCCTTTTTCCTCACCCCCCCTCCCCCTCGTCCCGTAAGTCGGGAACACAGTTAAGGTCACTTCAAACCTTCGCGGGTGTCCCCCAGAAAAAAAAATTCGTACGCGCGCTGTTTTGAAGGAAACCTGCACAAACTTATATCAATAGAAAGGTTATGAAATGTAGAATTCGATAAAATTATGTTCTTTTTGGCCGACTGCTTTCCTAAGGCGGCAGAAGTCGTTAACGCCAATACGACCGACTGAAATCCCGGCAAATTAATCAGGTATCAAATGCGATCGTTGATGCAAAACAACTGTGCAGTGTTAATCACAAAGCATCAATCTCTGAAAGCGTGTCAGCATTTTCTTTCATTTCTATTGGTTATCATTTTATACATCTGTCAAGTTCCATTTATTATAACTTTTCGTGCCCAGCTGCTGTTTGTTGAAATTTTTCAACCTCGTTCCAAGGCTCTCTTTCCTCTGTCTCCCTTATAAGATATTTCTTTTAACGTATGTTATATTAGCTTTGATCCAAATTCCTCAGAGTCTATCATAGTTTGTGACAAGGCTATAAATGTGTTTTAGAGAGATGTGACGCAGATGCGGAGATGCGCGCCGTGATATAAGCCTCGCGCCGCGCTCAAAACACGCGGGTTTGACTTCAGAAAAACAAGTACTAGGAAAAATAGAAGTTACGGATAGAAAAAGAAATCCCGGTTATAAAAAGACAAAATGCGGTCGTGGAAAAAAAAAAAAAGACGCTAGAGATAAGAAATAAAAAAAAATAACACACAAAAAAAGAGAGTCGATTTCCCTCACGCTACCAGGCCACAGCAGCAATGTCGATACAAATATCAATTACTAATTTACCTTCGTTCAATTTAGCTCGGTGTAGATGGCGTGATTGTTACAATGAAGAATGCGTACACAAGTAAAAGGTGTTTTTGAGATGTATTGAAACAATATCAATTATCCAGGAAGTGCCACTGACTTGAAGAGCGTCAATGATTTACAACGAAAAAACAATCGTTCAGTTTTAATCTAAATAAGCTATTCAGTAGTTCTAAGAATTGATCATAGCACAACAAGTGAAGGAGAAAATGTATTTACATCGAAGTTAATCAAGAATTAATTCATCTTTCTATGTTATTGTCGATACAGTAAAGGCGGAAGCTTCAACTTGAACATAATGTTTCTATTAAAATTATTCACAATTGGACACATGCAAATTTATACGAACGAGTTGTTTTGTTTTACACTGTGTTATGTTAATGTACGGCCACTACCGAATGATCAGCATGGCCTCCATAGCCGGTACATCCTCGATTACTCCAGCTTTCTTGCTGTTTCTATTTCTGGGACAGTCTGTTTGTACAAATGACGACCCGTCTTTATATCCTGGTCATCTGGAACCACTCGGTGCAAGACACAACAAGAGTTCTGTGAAAACACTATACGCTTTCCCGAAACCAAGAAAGTTCTTTCAAAATTTCGTCTCCGCGAGTTTTCCCCTCTTGATCAAAGGCGGAGCGAAATTATCGTCGGCATTCACTCAATGGACCGACGAGTATTTCGTGTCTGTTCCCGAATCGGATAACTTTTTAATCGACGTTGAGAATGGAAAGAAAGAGAATCGAACTAAAGGCGATTTACAACGGATGTCTTTTAAACAGTTCGTCGAGAGTTACAGAGACCAAGACGTGTATATGGTGAACGGAGTGCCCAAATTTATCCAGTAAGTAAAAATACAAAATTTCTGTTCATTATTGATATTGCCTTCAGAAAATATTTATTTTGTTGTGATTTGAGAAGTTGCAGTTGTTCATTTTGTTCTTATAATCCATGCAGAGATTCAGTTCCGCTTTATTGTTATTCAATCAGCGTTGCCACCATTTTTGCACCTGCCTTCAAAACACGTTAATTGCTCATGCAAATCAATTGTTAACCATCCGATGATAAAATTCCAATGATTGTAACCAGCTACCTAAGAAGTAGGTACTTATGAAGGTCATCTACAATCCTAGCTTGCACACAATACAATTTTTTTGAGTGGTATATTTACAGTTAATTAATTTGCCAGAAAATCTCCATGCACTCGGTTGGTGTAACGTAGTACAGCCCAAAGCCATATGCTCCTGTATCATATATTTTATTTTACTTGCTTTGTGCTTTACTGTTCGTTTGACTCGCAGGTCATTGCCAGGTTATTCTCTGTAGTCTCTTTTTATCAACAAAGATGCTTGGCTTTCTTTTCTTGTAGTGAGTTGTAGGTTTCTGCTTAATTTTTCCAATCGCAAAATCTTTCTTTCTTCATTGTCTCTTATTGTGTGTTTTCGGAGAGTTACATGTGTAAGTATAAATTACTTCATGTTAGAACTCTGTTAAGCTATCAATCTACATCTCTTATTGCGACGTGAGCAATCAGATACCTGAAGGGTATTGGCTACGTGTAAGGATATTGCATAGCCGACTGTGCCAATTCAGAGAAAGACGCAGCGAAAGTCGTTTAAAACGAAACAGCAATCAGCTTTTCAAATAAGGGCCGGTATGTTCGGAATTTGAGTATTCTGGTCTGGTCGGATTTTTGGGGCAAGTTCTATTCTTATTAATTCGATTCATCTCTTTAAAAATCAGGGTTTGGTCTGAGATCGCATAGTATATTTTAGTCTCAAATAGTGCAAGGATTTCATGTTTTGCAAGGATTTAATGTTTTTCACGCACCGCATATCCCGCCCACAGCGACTTCCACACTAATTAATGGTAACTCTAACTCGTATAGAAGTAGCCGGGCTCGGCTCCTTGGACTTGATATACTCTACAGTTTTAATTTTTCGGTTTGAGTAACTTCTATTTCACAAAGTATTAAAAAATCTTATCTGACATTTTTACACACGTACACGTTCAGTCACGAGTAGGTCTTTATTTCTTGCTGCGAGACGACGGGCCAACTCTCTTGTAGCCAGCAACCCAAAGAACTGCCAATAGAACTTGATCGCAGGCTATTCACTAGATTGTTCAGCGCAATGGCTAAGTTGATTTGACTGACCAGCAGACTCTGGACAAAGACGTGTATAATTTTGAGAACTTTCCGAATCACTTGTAAACGTTACTGTCCACTTCCGCCACATGCTTCAACCTCGATCCCAGGCTTTCTCTCCTCTGTCCTCACATGTGACGTCATTCTATCTGCATAATGCTCAGAAACGAGTAAAGATTTCATGCAGAAAGTTTATAATTTGGGATATGCTTGCATGTGGACTTGATACGTACCATGGGAAGAAATTCTCTTGTATGCCATATCTTCGTATATTTCCAACTTGCATTGATTCCAATAGCAGAATTCTCGCAAGACGAGTTACCTTCGACGAATTTTGACCTGCACCCGGGCCATTTACAACCTCTGGGATCACAAAACGTAAAACATTCACTTGAAGTGATTAATGACTTTTTAACTCCTGTGGAATTCTTCAAAACTTACGCAGCCCCTGTTAAGCCTGTGTTGATACGAGGTGGAGCTAAAGTCTCACCAGCTTTTACTAGGTGGACTGATGAATACTTCTTGTCTGTGCCCGAGTCAAGCGATTTCAATATTACTGCGGAACAACGAAAAAAGGAGATTCGAACATTTCCTGCTATTGACATAAGCTTCAAGGAGTTTGTGACGACTTATGAACAGGAGGATATCTACATGGTGAACGGTGTTCCTCCGTTCCTTCAGTAAGTAGAATTTGCTTCTCGAGAAGGTTCCCCTCATAGTTGCCAATTAACAGTGCCATCCTCTGGGCTGAAAGAAGCGAAGAGGATGTGAAGTGGGTTGGAATTTACACCTTTTAAGACCTATAAGAAGGCCATTTATTTTGCGTGGTGAAATTAATTTTTTTATTATATGGCTAGTTTAGTGAGAGAGCAAGATGAACTGACCAAATCCTGTGCTGTGATTGGCTACCCAAGCAGGCGAGATGGCGCTGTGTCCTGTTAGAAAAATTTCCCTGAAAGCCATAAAGCTTGTTCAGTCAAGATGGCTTGATATTGGCCTTGTTCTTTTTTTGCGAGTTTATGGACCTCAACTCTGTCTCGGTCCATAAAANAAAAAAAAAAAAAAAAAAAAACAATTAGGCCAATATCCAGCCATCTTGACTTCACACTTGGTGAATAACCCATACATCTTGCCTGCTCAAGACTACCCACTGTGCGCTGCAGGAAAACAGTGCCCTTTTTTCATAAAAGCTTTTTAAAATAGATCCTTTATTGACCAGGCTTGTTCAGTCAAGATGGCTGGATATTGGCCTTGTTCTTTTTGGGTGTTTATGGGCATTAACTCCGTTTTGGTCCATAAATGTGCAAAAGAAAAAAAAAAAAGAACTTGGCCAATATCCAGCCATCTTGACCCTACGCTTGGTCGACAACCCATACATATATGTGGCGTAAATGTCAATGTGAAGGAATGGAGAATGCATGATGTATATATGAAGTTTTCTCTAACCACCTATAAGAGTTACAACTACATGAACAGTAATAAGAGAGAATCTATTTCCCAAATTTTTTTCCCCAAAATCCTTTTTTTTTATTGGTTGTGTCATCCTATAATTGGTTTGAAAAGAGTAAAATAAGCAAATTTTTGATTTGAAGAATGACTACCAGTAAGTTTTCTATTTGTTAAAAAGCCATAGCAAAAAGTTTTAGTGGCCTCATTAAACCGCACGGGACAAAAATCAACATCATTATTGAACTGACTACGAAGAATTTGTGATGGTTTTTCTGGGAACACAGTCATACGGTCTCTTAACCTCAATTTTTCAGTCCAGCTACAGTGAATGCAGTTTTTCCACCTTCTTGCTTTTATATGTCTGAGATTTCAGGTCTAAAATTTTGTGTGGCCCAAGTAAAGGAGAACATGAAAAATGATAGGGCTTGATGTGTAATGTCATATGAGAATGTTATAAGTTGGTGCTAAATAGCAAGCTGTCTGTGCCAGCTGCCAAAAGGGTGTTGGGCGTTATATATCTTTTCACGAGTCTTCAAACGAGGTTGGCATCTAATCATGCCTTATGGGGCTCTGAATAATAGCCCTGCACCGCATGGGCAGTAAAATAAACCAGCAATATGTTAACTTCAAGGTGAACATGATTTCACTGGCTACAATTTCCTTGAAACTGATAACAATTAAGTAGAAAATTGATATGTTACTCAGCTGCCAATTTACGACAAAACATCTACAGAAGATAAGTATCCCACTTTAAGTCACCCAGCTGAATCCTGATTTCTTGGTATGATCTACCCAGGAATAGTTTAAATTAGTTTAAATTAGTTCAAAATAGAGCAGTATGCATTTCCTGGTGCAGGTGTAACAGATGTTGTCAATTTTCCTGAACAAATAACAGTGACAGCTTCCATAGCTGTAACAATAACTAGTTAATAACAAAAGAAGTTGATACGTACCTAGTGACTAGTTAAAAATGCAGATTTCCTTGACCTGTCTGTGTAGACATCCTGTTGTGACATTTTTTTTTTTTTAAATATAGCTTTGTATTATTATTTACTGAATTAAAGATGGTGGGGCCTTTTCCTCTCGCGACACAACCCAGTGCAACAAAAGGAAGCTGTGGTATTGTAACCTCCTCCTTTTGGGTTATTAAAAAAAACATCCTGTTGTGACATGATGCACAACAACATAATTTTCCCTTTGCAAACAAGTGATATCTTCTTACAGCTACTAACCCTGGAAAGAATATATTAGCTAAATAACGATAATTTAATGACAACAATAGCATTGTTAACTGCTGCAGCTGTGGTGTGTCAGCTGGTGTAACTCTGTCAGTGACTAATTTTGAACCATTCTAACTGGTTGCCATATGCCTGGTGCAATAAATAAATATTGTCTTAAAATCATGCTGGCTGTGGGAATAAAGCTCTGTCAATGGCAGTATCCAGGATTGAGCAGTTTTCTTTTAAACTTTTATCACCTGTTTACTTTAAAAATTTATTTACATATCCAAGACATATTTAGATGTCTTTAATTCATGGCAAGTTAGATTTGCTCCTTTTTTAGCCCTTGTTTCACATGGATAGTACTGCAAATAGTAATAATGCCCGCACTGCCACTGGGATTATTGTCCTAGCATTATTCAATGATGTATATGTTTTTGTGAATTTTTATTTTTAACTATGTGTTTAATAAAGAGTGTGTTGCATCCTTATAATTTTTTTTGGTTGGACAATTATTTAATAATCTTATTTTGTAAACTAAAATCTATATGTGTTTAACTTTACCGACAGACTCTTTTAATTAAGATTTAGTCTCCTTAAAAATCTAATTTGACACCTGATGTACCCATAATTATCCAATTTAATATACTGTAGTACCAAATGTACCAACCAAAGTTGAAAACAAATACTAGATTTTATAACTTACACTAGTTTAAGTCTGCAAGTCTGTATGGTCACTGAACAGTGCAAATTATTCAAACAGAAAAACAACTCAAAACTGCAAGTGAATCATATTTTCAGTCTGCGGCTAAACCTGACCACTTGGCCCTTTGAAACTAGAATTATTCAAAGTTTTTTGTACTGCTGTAACTAGTTTTGTCTCTGGATTTCTGAGAATATAATTCTCCTCATAATATCAACTTTCCAGTTCTAAGGTATTTAGGTAAGGTAACGTTGTGAAATCCCTCAGTGCTCAGATTCAAAGAGGACTTTAGAGGATATGACGTTTGGGATCCTTGCTTCATTAAATGCCAAGAGTTTGGAAACCTATTAGTGTTTCATACACAATTTGATCAGGAGAAAGTTGCATACTATAACTGGACATTTTTATTTAAAAAAGAAACATTTAGGGATGACCCCCCCCCCAAAAAAAAAAAAAAATAAATGAATAAATAAATAAATAAACAGTAACTATATCATATGTTAATGTCAAAATGAATTTTTAAATTATTGATATATATTTATTATTTCTCGAGGGGTGTACATTGAATAGATATGACATGATTTTGATGTTACTTTTAATGTCAACTGAATCTGGTTCCACTTGATTTATTGTGTGCTTGAGGCTTGTCATAGATCTACATGTAAAAGTAATAAATAGTTCTTGAAAAGCTATAGATCACCTACATGCACTGTGACATTTTCTGAACAAAATGAGTTTATTAATACAATATGTTGAATATGGTGTGTGAAGAAAAAGAAAATTATTGTCTTTGTATTCTCATTCTCACTGTTGTCTTTTACTTTATAATCTCAGGAAGGATGTGATGCTGCCACCTCCACTTTTGTGTCAAGACATTGTGAAAGACATGTTAGTTGACACGGTTAGTCAATAGTGAAAAATTATTCCTTAGTCTAAAATGATCCTACTGTGAACCAGTGAACCTGGATGATTTATCCCTTTACATGTAATTCAAGAGTACCTTACACTATTTTCTGTACAAAATCTTACCGTGTTTGATGTTTGCCTCAATTTCTGTTTTATTTATATATCTATTCATTCATTTTTTTATCGTTATTTTAAAAACAATTAAAAACAATGTAAAAAATTAATTAGTTATTGATTAATAACTAAATAAATTTGTATTTATTTCTGTAATTGTGTATTTTTAGATATTGAAATATTTATTTGTAGAATCATTGATGTTATTGTCCAGAAGACTGTTGTAAGATGTGTTTGTAGCATTCTTCTTTCAAACTAACCTATAATTTTATTTGTGTGTTTATTTGCTTATTGCTGATTAGGTCATGTGGTTTAGCAGTGGTGGTACCAAGTCAGTCTTGCATAATGACGATGTTGACAACATCAATTGTTTGTTCAGTGGAACCAAGGAACTTTTATTTATAGATTACAAAAAATACAAAGGCAAGGTGTGTTACATCTAAACTAGAAATTAAAGCATAAATTGAGAGACAAGTCACTATTTCAAAAAGTACATGCACCTACCACTGAATTACCCAAGCTATAGTGTAATTCTTGTTCAGCATATGTGTACATTTTATGGGATTGTGTATGCTAGCTAATTCAGAACTTCATTTCCCCCTCCCCCTCCCTGATTTTGTCAGGTTGCTCTTACAGTGTGATGGTTTAATCCCTTTGTACTCCTGGGAGAAGGGTGCTGTACTGGCTTGATTAGATGTCATTATTTCATTTTATTTATTGACAGCAAGTTTCTGTTTCCTTTAAAACCTATCCATTAGACTAGAGGTACCATGATTTGGAATGGTTCAGCTGAGAAAAGTTGAAATGAAATAGCCTGTGTACTGTAGTGAAGCACAATTTTCAACCCCTAAGAGGCTCTGTTGGGGTAAAATTCCAACATGCGACATGGTGTTGAAATGGCAGCGTGGAGGCTAATAAGATGATGACAAGCAGACTTAACAGCATTCCTTGTGCTGTTGTGTTGTCAGTGCCAAAACTAGAGTTCCCCCACCAAACTAGGGTCTAACATACTACCATAATGCGACAACATGGTTTACTACTCACACTAGCTAACAAATGTTGTTTTCAGCAGTATGATTAATGGTTCTGTTTATTTATATAGGTACCAATTGATTTCCCTTCTGGTGGATACTCTGGAGTAGATGTCGATCGGTATGATGACACAGTTTTTTATTTGTAGTTTGTATTTAACAGGCAAAATGTGAGCTCCATTACCAACTTCAGCGCTTCTTGAGTGACTAAAATGTTAAGTTTTTTTCATATTTCAGAGTTGATTTCGTCAAGTATCCCAGTTTGAAAGATGTAGAGTACTTTAATGTGACCATGGAACCTGGAGATTGTCTTTTCATTCCTTACAAGTGGTGAGTTTTTCCAAACTCTATTTCGTGCTTTTCTGTTAAGTGCACTATAAAGAGATGCTTTCAAGGAAATGTCAGGGGCGTTTTCCATTTAGTCAAATATTCCAGAAGGTTTGGAGTTAAGTGGCTAACACTGTGTTTGTTCACCCAAGTGGAAAATGTATACAAACTTTAGGACTTCCTTCCTAGAAATTGCATTTTTTTCCCCCTAAATCGTCCATTAGGGCAAACCAAAAAATCATAAACTTACCATTCGCCTCAAGCCGAGATTTTCAGAATTCTTGACTAGATGGAAAGCGCCCCAGGGCTCATTTTTCAATCAACAATGAAAAAGATGATTTATAGCTGAAAATTGGTCTGGATTAGAAGTAACCGGTTTGCTAACTATGTGAGACTCAAAACGATAACAAAACCTTTTTCAACCCCTTCTTGAATGGGTGATAGACTAGAACGCATTCATACTGCTTTGCCTCATCAGGTATCATCAAGTGCGGTCGTATGATCGAAACATTGCTGTGAACGTCTGGTGGAAGCACCAAGCTGACTTCATTCCGACTGACTGTGATATGGAACCTAACCAGACCTTAGACAAGTTTAAGTTCGCTGCTCTCGAAAAAGAAGATTCAAGTGATGAAGAACCAGAAGATTTGATGTAAGTCATGTGTTTTTTTTTTTTTCAAAAATAAATGTTAATTCCCATTCCACTTGCTGTGAATGCCATACAATTCTCACAATGTGTTAGTTCAGAGAATTTGACAGAACATGGAGACAAATTCGTGTTAATCTCATTTTTCTTTGTCAAGATAACACATCTCAGCCCTAATTTGCCAGTCAGGTGAAAATGTGAAGCAAGAGCCAAAAACATCGACGAAGCATGGGACGATTGGGTTACCTCGCTCGCCACACCACTCCAATTTGCGCGCGGTCAGAATGCGGAACAAGCTCGTCTTACGTAAACGCTTGTTACACAGGCTAATAAAATGAAAACTTTGCCTCTTTCTAGGATAGTCTGAGGTCGCTCGTTCCCACTTCCTCCTCAGTGAAGGCTGTGGTACAGGCCTTGCTGCTGAGTGGGCACTAGATATTTTGTTGATTTACCTTGTGCAAAAATACCACCTTAAGATTAAACCTCAGCCAAAGGTATTTACTGCTCTTTTTTCTCGCTCCAGGACGCATCTGGAATCGTTTATCTCGCAAGGTCCTCTGACTTTCGAGACATTTGAGGAACAGTTAAAACAAGTAAGCATTAAGTTATTAGTTGCAGTCTTAAATGCAGTCAAGTATTTTTCCTTCAATTAATGATTGATTTTATTTTTTGGCAGGATTCTGTCATGGTTGGTGAGGACCAGTTTGACTGGAATGAACAGTTTTCATCCGTTGCAAAGCAGGTACTGCAGTGAAACAGCGTCAAAGCACTGAGACTCGCTCTAAAAGATTGCTTTCCCCAAAAAACAACTACATTTGCAAATGAGTATTTGCAAGTAGGTCTTTCGTGATTTTGCTAGTAAAATGCTGGAAAGTTGCACACTGGAATGCAAAAAATTTGCTAACATAATGCCAAAAATCCAAAAAGTTGCTACCTAAATTTCAAAAGTTACAACCTAAATTTCTTGATAGTTTTATATAAACGTTAAATAGAAGCTTTATATTTCCTTCTTCACAGTAATTGCTATCACTGGTCAAGAGAAATAGCTTGAAGCCTAGCTTTAAGGAGTTGCTCGCAAATATTGGGCGAAATTTAAGGATACTAACGGAACAAATCATATGGTTCATTTGACCTCAAAAAGTTGATAATCCAGGAAATTCGCATGAATTGAAGTTTTCTACGAAATCGTTGACTTTTTCGTGCTTCATGCTACAAACCTATATTTTGCTCAAAAGTTGCTCAGAAAGAGAAAACTTGCACCAGGTTGCTAGAACCGTGAAAAGTTGCTCAAAAGTAGCCGAGCCCAATCAGAATAGGCCTATCTGCAAGGCAAAGTATAGCTACAAATGAATAAAAATATTTCACAACCGAGTTAGTGCGAGCGCGTCTCCAGGGTTTCTATACCAAGCAGATGATAGCAAAAATAATCTCTCCATGAAATGATACCTCTTCCAGCGAAAGATAACCGGCTTACAACTAAACGATATGGAACCATTGTGTGAAAGAAGACAGTTTTCATGCCCAGTTACCACATGCATCAGCATAGGTGTTTGATCCGTGTAGACACTTGAATTTGCGAAGTTTAAAGGAATTTAAAGAAAACTGACGCACCTAACTTTTTGCAAAATTGAGCGTTTTGAGCTTTGTGGCGGAATTGCTAACTCTACGCCACAGTCCAAGATTCACGTGTGTTCCATAGCCAGATTGGAAATTAGCCAAATTGTCCTGATTACCCGCGATCTGCGATATCAAGTCACTGGCCTGATATCGGGGTTATTTTAGTCGATTTGTGTACGGTAAATACCTTGTAATAATGTTTTCGTAGGCCTCGACAGCTACCAGGCTCGCCTTGGGAGGTACTTGTGCTCGAACGTGTCTCGCCAAAGATACGGGCCATTGCGCGACTTAACTCTCCAAATATCCACCGAGGCATACGGAGGGAGTATGGTTAGGTAGTCCATTAGGTGTGACCCACGTTCGCATTGAGACCCGAGAGCCGAACATTTAGAGAGACCCTAAGATATAGCACAAACTTCACTGTCCCTTCTGTAAAGAGGAATGGGTACATAAATAGGCTGCAGCCCTGGGAATGTTTTAATATGAATCCTTTCTTTTGTTTGATTGCAGATTTTTCAAGTATTAGACAAAGACAAAGATGGGATGTTTTCAAACCTTGATGTTGAACAATTAGCGCAAGATGATTCAGTAAGCATTGAATCCCGCATGCACATGATTGCTCATTAACTGTTCGGAACGCAATGGTTTTCAACATTGAGCTCTTTCTGTTTGCTAACGCGGATGGATCGTGTTTTAAATTGATAAGATCGTAATCTCTATTGTCACAAGCGTAGGACCGCCGGAAACGAAATCCAGTCCCCCAGTAGTGTCGTTACCTATTACCTTCGACACACTGTAGGCGGGACTCATGTGACTCAGCTTACCTCTCTCTCCCTCGCCTTACAGAAGTCTGCGCGGTCGTAAAAGAAGTCGGCTGCGTGAAATGAGTGCAGACGCAATCTTACACTCCTATCACTCTACGGATTTTACCTACACCCAAAACCCCCTTTGAGCCTGTGTGAATGAGAGAGGTTTTCAGTAACATTGTGGTTTACTCGTTCAACCGGTATTGCCCGCGGGGGGCGGGGGGTATAGATTTGAGCCTGCTCTGGGACTCTAGAATTTTTTCCGATTGCTCCACGCTAGTGACATAACTGGTACCTGATTTACAGCTTATTATTTCACTTAGCTTTACTATTTCATTCCTATCACTTCTTTTAAGCTTTTGGACAACTCTTGTTCTTGCCTTACAAACCAGTGACTTTTCAGATTTTTTGTTCGCTGAAGCACTGATCTATGAAGTTACTGGGAGCTCGTCAACCTCAAACCCAGCCTCTCTTTCCTTTTGCTCCCTTGTCAAGGGAGGATATGAAGGACTGAAAGCCTGGGATCGAGCTTGGGAGCTGGTGGATCAATACCCCCTTTCACGGTTGACTTTCTCATTTGCACTACATTGTAATCCAACGTGAAATAAATAACAGCGCGACCGGATTGAAATTACAATTGCCCGTTATTACCTCACATACCTTCTGGGTTATATCGTAATGTAGATGAGAAAATTTCACCAGGAAAAGGGCTACTGTGTTCCATCTACGGACTCTAAGTGAGGAATATGAGATGGTGAATGTAGGAATGATAAAAATGAACGCGTGAAAAAAAGTCCAATTAACTTCTTAATGTGTTATAGGTCGTAAGTGTTCTAGAAAATGAGTTGGCCAGGATCGAAGATTTAATAGAGGATCAAGTGGAGTTGATGGATTCTACTCAAGAACCAGAGGCAACGAAAGATGAACTGTAAAATGAAAATAACAGCGCGACCGGTGTCACAAGGAAATTCCAAACGCTATTAGACCTATCGTCAACGTTAAACTTCGCAGGCAAAACAGTGATAACATGAATGGATGAAAACATCAGCGGAGTTGATATTTTATTTATTGTTTTGTCGCGAATCAGAAAACCAGTTAAAAACGATAAATTAGGTAAATATCCACAACTAGCCACTGACACCAGTAGGATAAAAATCCGCAAAGATTGACTCGGAAGACTGCTAAGTCTTATTTCGTGAGTTCGCGCGCAAAATGTGACCTTCGCCACGCCAGCTCGGAATAGCAAACAATAACCAATCAGACTGCGCGAAAAGCACTATCCACTAGTTTGGTATATACTAATAGCCTTTATTTATAGACAATAATGCAACCTAGTTTTATCTGCCTTGCATGAACCGGTAACATCGTAGAAAATCAGTCACACTGGATGGCACGAATGTCGCCTGACATCTGACATTTTGTACAATGTTACGCATCCCGTAGAATTTTTAAATTGGGCTGCAGTTGAAATGCATACCTTCCAGGACATTTCTTACGGATGGTAATCAGTGAGGGCTTCTTGTGCAGATATGGGTATCGAGACAATTTTTGGAAGACAGAAGCACATAGAGCTTCTGATGGGAGGATGTCCGGTGAACTGTGGTCGTTGCCGGAAGGCTCGATTTGTTTATTTGAGCGCAGCTCATTTTCAACCCAAGTTTCCTTTATCACGCTCGTCTTTTTTGGTCACTCAATTCTTTCCCTACTGGAGAGGGGTCAGAGCCATCTTTGACGGATGACGTAGTTCTACAGGGAATCTGTGTATGTCCCGGATGGGCTGTTGCTTAGAGGCTTCAATTTTCGCGCGCAAGTAAGAGCCAATCAGAGAAGCTACACGATCTCTGCAGTTAGGCTATCGGTAAGAAATTTTCGCGGGAAGGAATAACGCAATTGAAGAGGGAGGTCTAATTAACCCGTGCAAAAGGTAAAAGTCCATACACAGTCAAAATAGGTCAACCTTTTAATACATAAAACCTACATTTTTAAAAATACAATTTAACGTTTGGCTTTGAATCAAGTAGCCTTCTAGTGGTATGCTATACTAATGCGAATCATCAATAAAGGAACAATTTAATCTTCAGGTCAAATGCAAATCCAGGTTTGTTCCTTGTGACATCATATAATACTTTTGAAAAATAACTATATTTGACTATATATAACTATATTTGTTCCTTCTTTTAAACATGAACTTTTATTTAAAAATTAACGTAACATATAAATAAACTTTGAATTTTAAAAAAAGGTATTCCTGTGCATGTCTGGAGGAAGATGAAATTTAAGGTATAATATATTTTAATCCCCAGTGTCAAGTTTCGACGTCTCCCAACTGATACTAAGCATTCCTTATTGATATCGTCTCACAATGACGATTTCCTAACCAAAACCTTTTCGTAGTTATTTTCTTACATCGAAATTCTAATTCTACTGTTTATTTGGCTGTCCCTAGACAAACAAAGTGTCCATAAACGTTTTTTACGATAAGCTCTGCCTCAACATAAAACTACTATCTCTGTAACGGTAATCAATCATATCTATCATAATAAACTCGTCGATAAACTGAAGGTAAACTAAACTAGATAAGAATATTTCAGTCCTCAGATGGCTGGAAGTTTAATGTCGTTTGGCCTCTTTCAGGATCGTTTAGTCTAAATATTCTTACGCTTCGACTGCTTCCGATGGCACTAGAAGAGAAAAAAAAAAAAAAAAAAAAAAAGAAAGAAGAAAAAACAATAAAAAGATTAGTACATGTAGTAGGTAGAGGGTCAAACAAATAGTGGCAAATTTTGGTGCCCCCACTTGACACTGGCTCGCCGGCGAGGCTTTGGGAGCGATGCTTTGNAAAAAAGAAAAGAAAAGAAAGAAGAAAGAAAAAAAAAACATTAAACAGGGCAGTAAATGTAACACACCCACACCTAAATGGCCGTAATCCATTCGTATCTAAAAGGGATGTTGTGGCTGAAATTATTATTAAGCTAATTGTGGTCGAGGTAGCAGGGTAGAATGTAGTGTGGTGAGTTGAAGTCGGCTTTCACCGACGGTGGGTACAAGGAAGGGGCCTGCCATCTCCTGTTATTTACGCCCCCATTCACTACACCCCGCCTTTTTCAGGAAGACAAATCCTTGCTTCGCCTCCCACTCCCATCCGATCTCCTCTCCGAGCATCTCCGCTATTGTTAACAAAGCGCTCACAAGAGCAAGTAGCAGACTAAAACAGAAACAGTCCATTAAGCCATCACTGCCGGATGACTGGTGAGTCAACTAGGAGATTACCCTAATGTGGAGCCTAATTCTCTGAGCTAACATCAACAGATATGTGTTAATCAGTAAAGGAAATCGGTGTTCAGAGCTTGGAAATGAAGGGGGAAAGTGAATCGTTCCAAAAATACCTCATGTCCTGGGGCGTGAGAAGAATAAATTGCCTTTCTTGCTGCTCTTTAGCGACCTTCAACATCATTTCCATGCTAATCCGCCTGTTTACCATGTCCTAAAAATTTAAAGAGAGCAAGTCGTTCGTAACTGATATTCACTTGACCTAGAGACTTTACTTGGACTTTGAATACTTTGTTACAAGAAACCGGTTGGAAATAAGACATGTTTCAGAGATGTACTCACCATGAACACATCGAATTCGTCTAGACATCTAAAGGGCGACTCCATTGCTTCCCAGAGAGCCATGATGAATGACACGGTGGAAAAAGATCTCTCTCCTCCAGATAACGAGCGAGTATCCTTGGCAACCCGTTTAGAACCCTGCTCAACGTTAACCTAGAAATAAGCGGTCATACATGTATTTTTGATATCAAGATTTCACCCAGATATGTAGAATAATGCGCACGCACTATTTAGCTATCTGCTCATGCCAAACATATTTGAACTTGAAATGCTTCGTTCAACTTTAATCTGTACACCTTAGAGCCTGATGTAAGTTATCTATATGAAAAATCCTGTCGATAAAGACCCTTCCGAGTGCAAAACGTTCAGTAATCAGGCGGATTAATAACGGTTTTCGAAAGGATAGTATCAAATAATTACTAAAGAAAGCACGTAGCGCGTGGTAAGAACGGGAAACCGCTCAGGAAACTATTCGCGTTTGGTTTAGCTCTTGCACCTGATTGGCAGAGGAAACAACGGTGTGTTTTCATTGGTTGAATTGAGTGGTAAGAGTATTTTAAGCCAATCAGAGCTCAGCGAACGGAAATCATAACAAAGAGAGATTCCTTGGACAGTCGGTCACTCGAAAACTGTGCTAACTTTTGCAAAGACAGAACCAAAGAAGACGTGCTCAAATTGTTAATGAGAAAAGGATAAAGCCATTTTAATACCCCTTTAGAAAAGCAGCCCAGTGACAGGAATAAACGCACCTGAAGCCCAAGAATTTCATTGCCGTGATCGAAGCTCATCTTGCCGTTGTAACCTCTCTGAGAAAGCATCATTTGAAAGAAGAACTTGGCACGAATAGCGATGAAATGACGGTAATTCACAAACGCTTTCGCTCTTTGCTCCATCACTGCCTTCAAACGCTGCAAGTCAGGAAGAAAAGTATTATACAAGACACTCAGTTTATTATAGACTTGGTATGGTAAAAAGGGTTATATTACTTATATATTTACAGCCCAGCACGCGATTGGTCTAAACGAGTCACGTGACTGAATATGCCCAGCTAAAACTGGGAAGTATCCGAGCAATATTCCCCAATTTTCAAAAATGCGCGGGTTTCGAAAAATATTACAAGGATACTAAACACAATAGCGTCCATTTGGCGCGAAAATTTGCTCTGATCTTTATCAATGGACGTCATCTGTTCCTCGAAGGTCAGTTTTTCTTCAGCTTTGCTCTTGGAAAACTGTTTGCCTCTAGGAACAGATAATGTCCGCGGAAAAATATCAAGCATATTTTCGCGCCAAATGGAGGTTATTGTTTATATGCATATATCTACGAGAACAAAAAACAACAACTTTATTTGTACTCAGCTTGAAATTAGAAATTAGATGAACAAAAATAAGTTAAAATAAAAAGAGTACATGGCTGCTCGAAATAACTTTAATGAGCTAATAAGACTGAGTAGTCATCCTTAGTGATTTAAAGTGATTATTTATTTGGCTCAAATAAGAAGAGAAAGGTAAACTATCACTTAACGCCAGGATGCACAACAAATAAACACTCAAAAAAGTGACAACTATGAATCTATAAAAGAACACAGTAAAGTCACCTTGCTGTATCTTTTCAGATTCTTCAATGATTCCATGATACCTTCGTACCGTTTCTTTGCTTCAAAATACTCTCTTGTGATATCCTCGTGTTTGCCCTTACTGAAAATAAGCACGAAACCAATGCCTCGTTAACCTGCAATAGATTCCCCCTAAACCCTCACTTACTAAAAGAGGGAAAACTTAACTTGGTTCGGTGTACAATGATATTTTTTCCGAATCTGAGATTCGACAGCAAGCTGTATTTACAAAAATTGCTTGTCAACGAAACAAATTCACTCCCGCGAAACTCCTGTTTTTGAGTGTGCAAAATCTAACTTACACTCAAGTTTGTTATTTTGACGATGCTAAAGGAACCATATTCTGCATAACACATAATGTAGCTGCTACTTTTGTCTAGAGCTCATACCAGCACCGCACGTCCTTTGTAAAAGGGGTTTGGAGGAAACGTGAATGCAACACTTGAACCGACAAAAAACTGAGCGGGCATGAAAAAAACGAACAAATCTCAAGTTCAGCCGGCAAAGTGCAGTGTTCATACTTTCGTTCTTCAGTCTGTATTCGTCTGGTCTTTTGAATGATCTCAGTCTCAAGGTTCTTCACAGTCCGTCTGGTTGAAACTCGTTCACAAAATTGACTGGCTTGTTCAGTCTTCACCTAAGAAGCAAAAATAATACGGGTCAACGAGAAAAACAGATGGCCTCGCGGTTATACAGGTATAAACCCTTGGAAGTCCAGGTTTTGTTACAATTTAGAATGCTTACTATGTTCGATAACTTTTAATGTAGCTAACTTGTTAAAGTAACCGACCAAGGGGAATTTAGAAAGCTGTTGTATCGAACGTTAGAATATAAAACACGGCTTGGGGTGTAGCAGATTTTCCACCAAATTTTATCCCGGGACGAGTTCAGCGTAGACAAAAATGGGGGCACTGTAGACCCACACTCACCCTGACTAGTTTCTTCATGGTTTCATGTTCCCGCTCTGCTTTCCTAATCGAATCCTGTAGTTCTCTAAGCCGAGTTTCAAAGTGTCTCCTGTGGCTCTTTTGAGTCTCGATCTCTACTTCAATGTCGTGTTGCTGATTCTGTAGAAGGCAAGGGACAAAATGAAATGTATTTCCATCCGAGCAGCTCGGATAGTTTCACTAGGCCATCTTCGCACTCAATCCCTGTTCTAGTGCTTTCTTCCACTGTAGAGTGCGTTTCAACAAAATCACTGTGCAATTCAAATCCGTGTACTAGTAAGGGTGCCTCTTTAAAAATGTTCTTAACTAAACTAATCAGATACATGTACACACCCTAAATGGATCCGCCTTCTCCAAAAGGCTTTGGATCTTTTCCCTGTGTTGCGCTTCCTTAAGCTGTTGTTTGCTCAGTTCATCGTGTGCTTTCTCCGCCTCTCCTTCAACTACAGCAGTCTACAATGACATAAACATAATTATTTTAAGGCTTAACTTCCATATACAGTACAAACAGTACTAATAACATTGAATTAAACCTTAAACATGATTTAAGTTTATTCTCCAGAGCAGATAAAAAGTTGGCAGACAATGATAAAATACGTGTACGCCAGCAGTGAGGCTGAAAAGATGATGGAGGAAGTTGGATCTGTCGTTAGTATTGTTGTTGTTGTTGGTACTATCAGTCACACAGTCTACACCAGTACCTGTTGTTCCAAGTCTTCTAACTGTTGGGTGTAATGTTCAACTTCTTCCTCCTGGAAACATGAAATCACAAAAACAAATTGATCTTTTAGTACAGCAGAAAAAGCCAATTGTCCCCAACCAAACACAATCAACCCAACAGCTCTTTCTCTTTACAGAGTAACTAGTGAGAAAATACTTCATTTGAAAGACCAACGCACCAATGTCGTGACATCTGGGAGTTCTTCTTCCTCATAGTTCTCAAGCTCTGTTATTTCCTAAGGTTAGAACAAAGAAAAGTTAGATTAAAGAGAACTAAAACAATTCTGGATAGACTACAGTCAGTAACCAATCAAATAGCCAATCAGGTAATGTCTGATTCTACTTTGTGAATTACCATAATAGATATAGCCGATGGGAAATAAAATACTGTTTGATAAATTAACAGCTTATAAAAAGCTGTATATTTACTTCAGTTACTTACACCAAGGATTTTATTAACTGCTTCCTGCTCACGAAATGCTTTCTGTTTTGACTTCCGAAGCTCGCTCTGTCAAATGCCAAGAAAACAAAAACATGTTAGCTATATAGGCTTCTAACATCATTAATTTTGATTCTCTCTGCTTTATCTCACATGTTCAGCATGTACAGGTAAAATGCTGCTGCAATGAATAGGAAAGAAATTCACCATCACTCGTTATTTCTCCAGCGTAATTGCTACCTTCTGGATGTGATGCTAGTCCATCACAGCTTCACCTCATACATTTGGTCGGGTGAAGGCACATTGGCCTAGGGGTTAGTGAGTTTGGTTTCGAGCCACTGTCAGGATCACTCGGTAGGGTTTCTGGTTAAGTCACTATTCTCACAGTATTTCTCTCCACCCAGACTGGCCAAAATAGCATGAGGGCAAACCCCCTTTATCCCCTAATGGACTAGTAGAAATACTCCTACTTGCTCTAGGCTATGAAAACTGGAGTTAGGTTCACATCATCTTCACGTGGAGAAAATCTTATTTATTTGGTCAGGATTACCCAGCAATTCCTCAGTACCCTGGGCAGAGAGAAGTACTCTGAAAGTATTATTTTATTACTTTATCTTGCCTATGAACATAGATATATGAGAAGTCCCTCTTTTGCTTAGCCTGCCAAGCATGCTATGATGCACGCTTTTTTTCATTTCACGCTTGATAGACTAAGTGAAGGAGGGACTGCTCATAGTCTACAAGAACACAACAGCACACTTTTAACTGTGTAAATTTTTCATCCATTAAAGAGATTGAATGGCCAGTGACCCACCTCATTGTCTCTGATTGTTTTGTTGACTTCATCCAAATCCATTTGGCATTGTTGTTGATGCTGTCTTTTGTGCTCAATCTCTTGCTCGAGCTGCCTGCAAACAACACAAAGCAATTACAAATTCTTTTTTATAATACAATGTAGCTACATCTTTCCGAAATGCATATTTATTTAAACATGCGTATTGCATATTGGTGAAGATATTTTTTAAGATACGTGTAGCACTGGATTATTCTGAAATTCACTTGCCTTACCTAATCTCTACTTCAATGTCTTTCTGTAAGTATCTGGCCTTATCCATCATGGATGCATACGATCTGGCTGTCTTCCCACCAAGCAGTTGATCTCCATTCATTGCATAAGCCTGATACAAAAAATGTTCCATTATAGAAGAATACAAGGCTGGATCTAATATTGGGCAATACAGTTTGTTGTTGGATTGTTTAATTTATGAAATGCTCTTCATCAAAAACAAAAAACACTTAACATTCAATCTGACTCCGTTAAAGCACAACTTTTTATTTGACAGTTCAAGTGCACCATGCTTGGTATTTTTATTTTTATTCATCGATTATTTTTATCTCTTAATCGGATGCACTGAGACCTTCACACGTACATTCACTATATAATGAACTCACATAACGTATCTTATTTGAATTTGAGACTGATGGCATGGAGCCGTCGAAACGTCATTCTTCATTATCGCTGCTTTTTATTCTTAATTGTTTATTGAAAACCTTAGTTATTACAATTTGTTGTACCACAACTATTCACCACCCTAGACTCACCATTCTTGCTTTTGCGGGAGGGTTCTGAAACATAACTTGACGCGCTACTTTGGGATCCTCTATGAGCAACACTGACTCAATAGCAACCTGGAAATGGAAAATTCAATAAGAAAAAGCAAGTATTCTACAAACATCAGGGCTTCAAGTTAAGTTTCAAGTGCTCTTCATGTTAAAAAGTGTTAAATGTTGAATGTTTATGGTGGTCAATGCATTTAAACACTTCTAGCTTGGAGGGATATACATGTTAAACTGTGCATTATTTTTGGAGTTCACTTTGACAATCTTTCCCATTCACTACCCATGATAGTTATGGCCCCAACAATAGAAATTAAAACATTTTGGAGTTTCTTTCATTTGCAGACAGAAATTCATTGACACAAAAATAGGAAGGGCTGCAACTAGTACATGAGATATTTTTTGCTTAAACTCCTAATAACAAAACCTTCTTTAGCACTGCTGTGTTCCCAGCATAAAATTGTCACATTGTCAAAAATCGTTTTATTTGCAAACAATCTTTCGTGTTGAGGCTCCTGTGAGAAAAACAATCTATCACAAAAAGGAAGCTTTGTGCATTAATTTTTTCAAGACAAAGTAATTACAACTACACCATACAAAGGTGATGAGATAAAGCTACAGTATGGCATACCTGGTCAATAAGGCAGTTTGTAACAACAGGATTGTCAATCAACAGCATGTCAAGCACAGATGGGAACTCACATCTTGGTTTCTGTACCAAAAGACACTTTGCCAAGTTATTTCCAGAGGGGAGAAAAAATACACAATGTGGACAGTTTCATGACCATTTGTGCCTTTTTCCAGACCGAACATAATGTATGTACATATACTGTAGAACAGAGATAATTGTGCCTACATTGTAGCTGACTTAGATTTCACTACATGGAAGGACTTGCTGCACCTTGGACAACATTTTAAGAGCTTGTCCACGAGAAAACCAGGCCAATGGCCATTTTTGCCAGGAGGTCCCCCTGATTTGAAGGGAATAAAATATTTTGAACTACTTTTTTGTCACAAGCATTCACTCATCAAACCCAACATTTGTGTCAAGTTTGAGCGAAATCAATGATTTGAGCTGTATCATGTCCTGCCTGGTTTTCTCATGGACACATTCCTAAGACTATATTTTTATGTTCCTTTGTGCAATTTTCTAGGTGTAGAAGACAAGCAAAATCATTTCAAAATTTTTCAGATTTCTGTGAAAACTATAAAACATTGTACACATTACTTACATTAGCTGAGACATCATGGACATTGCTCTGAAAGAGGAAAAACAAAGAGTAATAAATAAGTTTACTCCACAGAAAGTTGTTATTTACAATAAGTAGCTTCAAAATATATACTGTACATTCAGAAATATTAGTGAAGCTTTATTAACAGATGACATACTTTCACAAAAGACAAACCTGAAATCTGCTGACAATAATGGTTGGAATGTTATCTTTTGAGCACACTTGCATAAAAAGCTGTTTTAAAACTTGCTGGTCGTGGTTGTCATGGCAACAGAATGCCCAGCCAAACTTTTTGATACAAGACTCCACTGCCAGTGCCCATCTTTCATCCTTCAAGGTCAGGTGTGCCCCTTTAAAAACAAAAAGATTACAGTGAAACCTGACTAATCAATCAGTCTATAATAGAAACAAAAATTTGCCAGCATGGATACAAGGACGTTAATACCTTGTAAGGATGATCAAAACAGGTTTCTCTTACCAATGGGGCCAACAGGTTTGTGATGAAACTTTCCCCTCTGGTCTGCCTGCTCCACTCTTTGTAAAAGCTCAGGCACCCAAGAGCCAAATAGTTTAAGCTTGTTGTTGCGACTACCTTGAAGATCTCGAAGCTGCCTCTGGACTGCATCCACTCTGTGATTTGCGTCAGTCAAATCTGTCCTATGAAGTAAAAACAGAATGGCACAATCGCTGTTGGCTTACAGTAGAAGCTCCTGATTCTCTGAGTGCCAGAAAACTTAGAATGAATTGCAGTGCTTGATGTTATTGCACATAATAATCATTTTCTCTACTTCCTGTGTGCTGTTGTCCCACCTTACCTCAGCTGGTATGTTCTTTCCTTTGATCTGGAAATGGCCTGCTCCAGCTGTCCACGATGATGGTTTGTAGTTGACAACTGACTTTCCCAAGCTTTAAGTTCATCTCTTTTTTGCTGCAGGGCTTCTTGTCTTTGCTGTTTCTCAGACTCAAGGTCACGCATAGCTCTACAAAAGATTACAATAAAGTGTGAGAACAGCATTCATAGCAATCTGTCGTGTAAGTCACAAGAATACTTACCAACAATAAAGAGGAAAGATTTTTTCAATATTACCACTACAAATAGTTATTAATCTTGCAGACCTTCACGAATGTGACCAGGTTCACAAAAACATGACAATGCATTTTTGGCACAAATTTAGAATTTCAGTTTGGTAGAAACTATTTCCTTTCTTTATCAAATCAACCCACATAACCTAACCACACAGGATTTACATCATGAATTTCCTATATGTCACACCACCACACCTTGTACTAGAATCATGAGAATTTCCTTCTATTGTTTGTTTCCTAATAAAAGAAGTGCAGTTAGTTAGTTTAATTCAGTGGTTCAAAGTGTTCAAGACCTGCACTTTCAAGTTGAGGACCCCTTGGTCAAGTACTGTTCCTTGTGACCTAAGNCTCACATCAAAGCAAAATCAATGGTGGTCAAACATTTTTTCACAACAAGTTTAACAATACCTGTTTTTCCCTGTAGATGTTTTTCTTTTGCTTCAATTCATTACATATTGCTTGTTGTTGTCCACCTAATTCTTTACCCTCCTCAGTAATAGCATTCAACTGTTCATTAACTTTTCCCCACTCCTCCTCCAACTTTCTCACCTCCTCCTAAAGTCGACAAGTGATTCTACAATGTAACTGAAGGAGCTTATTAAATCAGTTCCCCCCACCAACACCACAGTAACAACACAGCTTGATTTTGGCCATTCTAAGACCTGAAGAAATGAGGACAGTCTACACAAAGATAGAAAAATAAGCCTCTCTGCAATTTCATGTCCTAAATATCACAAAATTAAGGGTGGGTGAGTGGGTGGAAAACAGAAATCCATGGAGACGCAAACAATCTACATTGTATTTGTACAAGCTTAAAGGGTGTATTACAAAATTGAAAATCATTCCTTGTAAACTGAAATCTAACTAAATTTTGATCAGGAGTGTATTTGGTGGTGGGGAGACAGTTAAGTCCTATGTGTGTGACTGCCCAATGGAAAACTATTTCAATAGTTTTACAAAAATATTATTATTCCCTCAGCCCACCCAGCAGACACTGCAGCTAGGAGGGTCCCTTACCTGTCAGCACACTAACAATGCACAAGTGTACACTGCTAGTCCTGTGTGCGCAAGGATGATCTCATCATTGGGAACATACAAAAACACAGAAAAGTACGAAAGTAACAAAGGTCAAACTGGGTTTGATCTGCAACTACATCAGGAATTTCCTATGAAATTCATTGTGAGTATCCTAATAGTCAGTAACTGGCTTATACTCATGGTGGTCATGGTAAAATATTGCCATGTACCTGACAACCTGTCACTTTCTCTTCATATCTGGGCAGCTTGGCCTTCTGATTTTCTTCTTCTTTGGCTAGTGGACCAAGTTTCTAATGTGCAAGAAAGAAAAAAAAAAGAAAAAACAAATACCCATGTAAAGAGTACTTGACACAATCTTTTTAACATACAATGCTTTATGTGGGGGCAGAATGGCCAGAGGTTGCAGGTTCAATTCCTGCTCTGACCACTAAGATGAAGATGTTTTTTGGTAGACCCTGGTTCAACTACTCAGTTATGCATGTAAATAGTGAGCTGGTCTGCCTCCTGCCAGAAGGTATTTGTAAGCCTATTCTGTTTCTTCAGTTTAAGCAGCATGCCTAAAAACTACCTACTGTAGGTGTAGCTGAGCACAAAGACCATTACAAATATTCAACAACAACAACAACAACAACAACATGAATTATTTTACCAATAATCACTGAGTAGTATATGATAAAAAAATCACTGTTCCCTCAGCCCACCCAGCTGACACTGCAGCTAGATGGGTCCCTTTAGTGTCGGCACACTAACAATGCACAAGTGTACAATGTCAGTCCTGTGTGCGCAAGGATGATCTCATCAGTGGGAACATGATGAAGATACATGTACTTTATTGCATTAGGACCAGTGAGATTAACACGTGACACCTTTTGACTGTGATTCAAATAAAAAAAGATAGCAACTCAGCTAAAAACAATAATCAGTTTGACACAATAGTTTCTCTTAATGCATGTACCTTTTCAGCCTCTATAACTTCTGCCCACACTCGTTCCTTCTTTAGTTCTTCAACCTGGTCTTTCATATTCTTCAACTGTGAAATGTCTTTGTACTTCTCCTCCAGAAGCTGCACTTGATGCTGCATTGCTGGAAGTGTCTGTAATGTACAATAATTATTACAAGGAGTTTTCATGTTCTTAATATTCATGAACCACTGTGCTTTCCAGTCTGAACAAAGCTGCAACAGAATATATCAGGCACAATTGGCAGTGTGTCATCACATTTCCAAATATTTTGTGCAGTGGAGTATTTTTGAGACAAATCAAGATATTTAGAAATCTTATGCAACACTGTCTTAAAGTGTTTGATATATCCTCTAAATCAAACCTGACACTATGGAAGGTAAATTGAGAAACAGAATTGTTTACCAGCTGGGAAAGCTTCCATCGAAGGAACAACAGCTTTCAAGAACACAACACTTTATTCTCAGCTGACATGCAGCCATGTTCATTTTACACACACAGTATGGTCCATGCGGAATGCCGCTGACCCCCAGGATACGACGACAGAATTATCTCCTATCAACAGAATCAAAAAGTATGTGCTACAGTAATTTTGATCACTTATTCAGACTACTGTTAGAAAGCAACATGTTCATCATGTTCTTGGGAACTACTAGTAGTCTGAATAACCAGCCGTGACGTAGCACTATGTTTGGCTTTTAAAATAAAGATACTGTAATTTGTTTTGAGGTGACTGTGTCTACATACCTCTTGCTTCCTTTCCAAAGTATTCTTGATGATATCCTGCTGTTCAATAATCAGCTCATAATCTGTACTCATTTGTTCTAGCTGGGTAGCTTTGAGAAAAAACTGACAAAGAAAAAAAAGGTGAATATATTATTTATAACGAATACAAGAGAAGTAACGTAATACATTTTATAATCTGTTATTTACTGAGAGTTAGTTTTTCAATTTTTTCAACTTTTAGCTTTTTAGTTGAAAACAGATTTTACTTTAGCATTTATAATTAAATATCTGTACTTGTATAGAAGGCCACTAGTTTGTTGTCCCTGACTGCAAAGTGGTTTTTCCGCTCTTCAAAGAAAGTTATTGTATAACAAGGCTGACCACTGAATAATGAAGTTCCGTCCCTTTTAGGACAAGGGAGGCTCGGTGGCCTCATGGTCAGGGTGCTCGTCTTTGGATCGAGCGGCCCGGGTTCGAGCCCTGGCCGGGGACATTGTGTTGTGTACTTGGACAAGACACTTTACTCTGACAGTGCCTCTCTCTACCCAGGTGTATAAATGGGTAACGGCGAACTTAATGCTGGGGGTAACCCTGCGATGCACTAGCATCCCATCCTGGGGGGAGTAGAAATACTCCTAGTCGCTTCATGCTGCAGAAACCGGGATAAGCTCCGGCCTGATGGGCCACTTGGCTCGTATACAGACTTAACCTACCTTCCATAGGACAAACCATACGCAGACATGTCATGTACATTTATGTACAAACACTGCAGTTTAAACCTCCCAAAGGTGTCCATGTTGTACTTTAAGCATTTGAAGCATTCCTCACAGTTCTTTTATCATAGTCTACATTTATAAATGTTGTTACCTTGTACTTATCCTTAGGATCAGAAGAGTTCAGAAAGTTCCTGCTGGTGTCTTGATTCAACACAGATACTGGGTTATCTACCTAAAGCCCAAAGATCGAAATGTAAGATTTCAGAGCGGAGATTTGGTTTACAGTAATGCAGAGGGTTAAGGGTGCCAATCTACTGTCTAGGCACTGTCTGAGTTTATTGTGCTGTATTCTTGGGAAAGGCACTTCACTTACTGTACACAGAGCTAAAGCTCTCCACCCAAGAGAGTGAATGTCTATCACCAATCAAATCTTTCATGGGAACCTGACAAAATTTCTATGCATTAACCTGGATGGAGTGAGGGGAGGACGGGGGTAGGGGGAGGACAGTATAACTGCTTGCCTTGAAAATTGGATATAAACTCTGGCAGTATGGACCAGTTGCCTAGGTACGACTTTAGCTTTACTGCAGCTCCAGCAGGAGTGGCAAACATTCAATTCTAAGTTTATGTACAGAAAACATACATGTGATGGCTTGCATTTGCTGCTGCTTACCACCATACAGCAAAGGATTTTTCCCACTAACTTCAATTACAAATACAACATTTCCTACTTTCTCTTTGACTAAAGCTGAATAAACAGCCTGACAAGATTTCAAAGCTGTAGCTTACCTGGATATTAAACTGGTCCAGAATGTGATTGAGCTCATCCTTTTTCTGAGAAACAACTTTACCTGCAACAAACAATGCAAATCATTGTTAAAAACTGAAATTCTGCACATCAAGCACATAAAGACATTCATTGACTGCAATAAGTTGTTTCAGATATAAATAAATATACCGGTACATTATACTAAGGCTCCCTTACATGCATCATTTATTGCATCATCCTGCATGGCTACAATAAGGCCATTAGTAAGCTTGTACTATTAACAGTTTGACAGAATGGGAACAGAGGTAGGTGAAATAAGTATCAATCTCAGCCTTTAGCGACATCTGATACACGTAGCTATACTAAATTATATCTCTCAGTTAGTATGAGTGCTGTGATTGGTATGGCCTGCTAAAATTTAAAGTTGGTTTTGTTGCCAAACTGTTTTGTGATTTATTGCTAAGTGTTATAGCACGTGAATGTTTAAAACTTTCTTATACTCTAAATTATGTAATAAAGTGCGCTAATGATTTAAAAACAGTTTCAACTGACTCGTTTTGCTTTTGAGGTGCATCAGAAATTTGAAGCATTTCCGAGTCCCTGTGAATACAAAGTGTTTCCGAACCCGTCAGGGACATAGTAGAGATATAATAAATATCTCACTAACCTCCTCTTCTCAGTCCGTACTGTAAGTTACGGATCCTCGTTTTTTTTCCCCTTCAATTTATGACCCACGTGCTTTGTTCTTGGGCCATAAATCGAAGGGGAAAAAACTTTGTCCATAACTTACAGTATGGACCTTGAACTCGGTTAGTAGGAGGTATGTATAACTTCACCCTGGATTATTCTAGATTTTACAAGAACCTCATTCAGGAACTGCTTTTACTGCTTTATGTCACCTACCATCATGTGATTTGAGTCTGTAAGAGCCACTGCCATCACTAGTGATTCTTCTTTCAACTGTTATAGACTGTCCATATTCTTTAGCTTTATATGCATCATGTCCTCTGTTTCGTAGCTTGATTGATACCTGTGCATAACTTGAAGCATAAGAACAAAAGTAAGCAGCATGAGTGTAAGTACAAAATGTGGACACTAACCTAATTGGGGGACAGTGGCTGCACTTTATTCACTCATTTCATATAGAATGCTGGATCGTCCCACAACGATATGTACAGCACATTCCTGAATTCTAAGTGCCTCTTCACAAGTGGTAATAATGCCATTAAAACAAACTAACATTGCAAAAGAATTGCTGCACATTTTTTTGGTGCAGTTCCAAAGTCATAAGCCCAGATGGTGAGTGCTGTAATCCCAATGCTGCATATTTTTTCTCATGCACACTATATAGTTAGCTACAAATGCTCACAAACTAAAATGTTTCAAAAGGCTATCCCGTTCCCTTTTTATCAAATTATCAACAGACCACTGTTAAAATAATTCCTCACCTGCACTTATCCTTAATGAATCCCTTGAGGGAATTTCCTCTGTTAGTCGTGGCAGCCTTTCCTCCTAATCCCACCACCAGTGCTGTCATTATAGCACTTTTACCACCTGCAACGAGAGCAAAGGGAAAAAAATCATTACAGTGTAGTTCCAATCCAAACTATTTTAAAACTTCTATTCAAAGCTGAAATAAAAGATGGTTTCCAGGGGCCAGCTTAACAAAACCCTCTTAGGTTAATTAAGCTGTATCCAAAGAATGTTTATATACAAATACCTATTTTTAAACAAATAATACTATTTATTTGTGATGCATCATAACATAGGAGAGCTTTGTGAATCTGGCTGCTAGACTTGACAGATTCAATCCTATTCAAAATAAGATTATCAAATTAACGTTAGGGCCTAATTAACTCTAATCAGGGCCCATAGAAATTTGCTTCAGCCATATGTGCTGGTAGAGAGAAGCTGACAAAACCAATCAAGAAATTATTGGATATTACAGGTATCTCATGCTTTATTTCACTTACTTCCATTTCTTCCTATGATGAAGTTGACATTAGCACCCAGAGGGACTTCCAACATGGTGTGACACATGAAATTCACTAGAGTGATCTTCTCAATGATTCCAACCTCTGCTTCAGACTAAAACCACAACAATGCCCAATGATTGATATCTGTGCATAAACCTGCTACACACGGCTCTCAAGAAGTTTTGCATCTGAAGCTTTCTTACCGCAGAAAATTAACAAGTACACATATCGACGTTTGTCGTCTACAGTAATCTAAAGCTTACTTTACCAACATTTTCGATTTCGTTCTAAAGCCTTTACTGATCAAATATAAGATACAAGTTTATCACGCCGGAAAACCTCACGCAACAACAAAAAATAAAAGAACATGCAACCAACTATCACATGGAATCAAGCTGAATCA